CAATATGCGTTTTTGCTGCCTGTTGCAGCGCTCTAGCGCTGCACGGCAAAAACGCATAAAAATTACGCCCCCCCCCCTCTCCACCAGCATCTCTGGTTCCGGAGTTAGCTATTTTCCCGTCGAAAACTTTCGCGCGGCCGTACGTGACAACACGCATGCCCAGAGTTTGAATTTGCTAACTTCAAGTTGTATATGGGCTGAGAACATCCGCTGAAAATTTCAACCTCCCAGTTTCCCTGGTTCCCCAAATTAGCGATTTTCGTGCCAGGAACCCTCACGGGCCGTACACAAAAACCACGCATACCTGGAAACTGAATTTGAAACGTTCGAATTCCAGGTGGACGGGGGCATAGCTCCATAATTTCAGCTTTCTAGCTTTTCTGCTTCCCGAGCTAGCGATTTTCCCGCCAAAGCTTTCACTCTCTCGTACGCGGGGCCCAAACTTGCGTGAGAGTTGTTGCCACGGTTCTGGGGTGATACTTGGCCAGGGAATCCGTAGGCAAAATTTTGGCCCGGAGCTTGCTTGGGTGCCGAGTTGAAATGCCCGGACAGACAGACAGGCAGACAGACACACACACACACACACCATGGATCGTCACAATATGCGCTTTCGCATTTGCATATATGCAAAAACACATAATAAACAGCGACGCGCATGAGGGTAGCCGGTGCGACTTTGAGTTTTGCGCAGTTCCGTCCAGCAAGCGTTTACCTGCTAAATATTTGACTGCCTTAAACTTTCGTGCGTGCAAAAGTAGTCGATACGTTGTACGGCTTTTAAGCTACAGAATTTCCACTAAAAATTTCACGCGCTGGCACGTGGAAGCTGGACTTGAAACCTTGAACGGGGAGCGTCTTTCCAAATTTCAACTACCAGTTTTCCGGCTTCTGAGCTAGTGACTTTTGCATCAAAACTCTCACGTGGCGTAAGTAAGGTCTCGGCATACTTGGGAGCTAAATTTTAATTCTGAGGCATCTGCCCAGGCAGAAAACGTCCTCCTGAAATTTCAGCCTCACAGCTCTTCTGGTTCCCGAGATAATAATCTTTCCACCAAACGTTCGCGGGGACACACAAAAACCTAAGTGTACATGAAAGCTGATTTTGTTCTGCGAAATCAGCTTTCATGTACACTTAGGTTTTTGTCAAGATTTTGTTCTCGTTGCATTTCAGCTTTCTAGCTTTCATGATTTCTCGGGTAATAATTTTCCCACCAAAACTTTGCTAGAGTCGTATGTATTACCCGCGGGCACGGGAAGGTTGAATTTAAATCTGACGGATCGCGCGTGGACAGGGGAAACTCTATTGAAATTCTAGCCGCCTAACTTCCGTGGTTTCCGATCTGAAAGAGCGAACAAAATGCACTCGGACACACAAACACACACGCAGACAACTTTGTGAGAATATGCGTTTTGTGATACTTTTACGCAGCGTAAAACACGTAAAAAGAAAAGATGAGATTCGCAGAAGTCGTCACTCTACACCTAATGACATTAAGGTAGATCCATTTTAAGGACATCAGGTTTGTGCTTGACTATTTTTGGTTGAAAGAAACATTTGTGCTAGCAATTTACGTAACTGATGAGACGAAAATGATTGTTGACCCAGTACTGTTCTCCGCAGGCTCTACATACACCGTAAATTTCGTGAACTGGAGTGCAAGGTTAAAGTGCGGAGACAAACGACTTGAAAAATGAGACTGCAATAATTTCCGACTCTTTTTGAAGCTTAGAAGATGAAATTTTGGGGAAGCAATTAGTTATGGGGCCGTTTCTATGCGTTTTTTGCAGCTATGCAATGCAGGAAACGCATATTGGCGAGAGCTGTGTGTGTGTGTGTGTATTTGTGTGTGTCTGTGTGTGCGCTGCGCGTTTGTACTGATTTTTCATCTCGAGACCCACAAAAGCTACGAGGCTGAAACTTGGGGAACTTAGTCTACATGCGCATGCGGGCCCCCGTCTCCGAAGTAGGCGTGGTACCCACGCACGGGCCCGCCAAAATTTCTTCGGTTAAGCTGTTAACTCGGGAACCTTAAAAGGTAGAAGGCTGAAATTTTAAGGAAATGTTCCTCATCCAAGTAGGTATTCGTGAGTTCAAAATCAGCTCTCAGTTATGCGTGGTACCCACGTACGGGCCCGACAAAATTTTTTCCGGATAATTTGCTGACTCGAGTACTTGAAAAGCTAGAAGACTGTAATTTTAAGGGATATTCTTCGTCCGCGTAAGTCTCAACGAGCTCAAACCCAAAAATCGGGTATGTATGACAACCAAGTACAGGCCTGTGAAAGTTTTTTTCGAGTAAGTTGCTAACTCAGGAACCAAGAAAGCTAGAAAGCTGAAATTTTAAGGGGGTGTTTCCCGACAGTTCTGACGGCCAGTCTTTATTTGTTTGACTAGAAGCATTTGCCGGAAAAATCAGTGCCATTAGCGACAAAAACTGCAGGGAACTATGCAAAAATCGCATCTTCGCATGGGCTGCCCGTGCGTTGGGCAATTATTATAACTGTTACAACAATAAAGATTCTTGAAATTGCAATATAGGTCTTTGGGTGAAATAGAACGTCTCTAAGTCTAAGTCCATTGAGAAACAAAATTTGATTTGTAGGCTAGCTAGGCTTTCACTGCACTATGCTGCAAATAGTAACTGCAGTTATCGTTTTTATTGTTTTAACCATTTTTCTTATTACCACTATTATTCTTACTATAA